TTGAATTTTATGTTCTCCTGTAATGTCTGAATTGCTTGCTTACTACTTACTTAGGCGATTCCTCGTAGTCTGAGGATGATGTCTGAATTGCATACCCCCCCCCCCTCTCCCCTGGCCCTTGAAAAAACACCAACAGAGATATGTAGATTTCTGGGGGAAAGGGGTTAGTGTGAACGCCTGGCAGAGATGCAGACGGAATGTCAGGAGAGAATGCTTCTAGAACATGGCCAGACAGCCCAGAAAAAACACAACAACCCAGTGATTCCGGCCACGAAAGCCTTCGACAATACATGGTTTGAACGTCTTCCAAAAAGCAAACCTTGCTTTTGGCCACAGAAGGCCCACTGCTTGACTCTCTGCCATTGTATAGAAAAGGGACTTGAGCATCCATGGATTTAGGGGATCCATCCAAAGACAAGTCTTCACTAAGCAAATCTTGGCCAGAAAAATAATATATATGATAGGTTAGTATAATAGAATAATAGAACTAGAGTTGGAGGAGAGTTACCTGGCTCTTGTTTCCCTTCCTCTCCCTCTTCTCTCCTCCAAGCTCAACATCCTCAGCTTCCAAAGCTGCTTGGTCTTGGCCAATATATCCTCTCCCGCACCATATGGGAGAGTCTAAATCAGCCATATTTCCCCTGTACCTTGCCCCCGGACCCCGAGACCCCCTTCTTAAGGAAGCAACACCGCTCTCCCAACGTTTACATTGCACTTGCATTGGGTTTATTATGAGAGAAGCTGATTACGAAAAAGCCGAAAGGCGGATGTACAAGCCGGAGCAGATTCCGCTGCAATATCATACATGCTTTGTACACATTGTTTTAAAAAAAGTCTTCAGAGTTTGGAAGGAGGGAACACATTCTGTCCATCACCCACGATTGGAAAATTTTTATCAGTCTTTAGTAAATGGTTGTGTTTTGTTTGGGCGACAAGGATGACAAGATGCAACCGATGGCTCTCATCAGCAGCCGCAGTAAAAGTAAATGTCCAGATCTTGTGGCACGTTTCGGGCTTCCTCATCACTGATTACGTTTTGGGAAGTGGCTTGCACTGTTTTTGCCATGAGCCGAGGATATAGAAAATAAAGATGTTTAACATGAGTGTTGATAGTCACAACCAGACGGATCTTAGGTCTGGCGCACCTTTTGGGTCTTGTTTAATAGGAGTAATAATAATACATAATAAGAACATTGTTGGAGTCCAGCCTGTGATTGTGTCTAATGATCAGGGTACTCTGGATGTTGGCAGTGACAATGTGGTCCATGTGTCTAATGATGAGGTTGCTCTAGAAGCAGAAAATGACAATGGGATTCCTTTCAAAGTGACTTTTTCTGACGGGAATGTTCCTGAAGGGTTTGGGGATGATGGTCTGTTCCCTGGGCCTGAATTGCTACCAGAGAATTCCCAAGGCTTGGCACTTGGGCCAGCTGTAGTAATTAATGAGCCAGTAGATAGGAGAAATGCTTTCATTTAGCAAAGAAAAACAAACCAGGCTCTCAGGCGCTCTGCTAGCTTGCAGGAGAGACTGATAGCAGATTCAAGGCTGAGAAGAAACCCTTTCCTAGCTGCTTGGGATATACAGTAGATTAGGGGATACAAGTGTCAAGTACAGAATCTGTAGTCAGACGAAGCAATGTTGGAACTGAAGGAAGACATCGTTTCAGGTCCCTGGAAGACTTATCAAGTTGTAATTTCTCCTGTCATTAGCCCCAGCTTTTGCCAATCTGACACTTAGAAAACATCCAAATGTGAGTAGATCAATAGATGCCACTTCCGCAGGAAGGTAATGATGCTTCATGTAGTCATGCTGGCCACATGACCTTGGAGGTGCCTACGGACAACGCCAGCTCTTTGGCTTAGAAATTGAGATGAGCAGAGTCGGACTTAACTAGACTTAATGTCTACCTTTACCTATAAGGGCAATACCTGACATTTCTCCCTTTGGAAATTAGTTTTGTGAGTTTCGGCCCCGCTTCCTCCCCTGTGAAGGTCGTTTTGGATCCTGAATCTCATGAGATATTAAGTCCCCGTCTCCATTTGGTGTCATTTGCAGGTTTGCAGGGAAGTTACTTATTTTTCCTTATTAGCAAAGCTAATGGCAAGGGGGTTGGACTGGATAGCCCACGAGGTTTCTTCCATTCTATGAATGCTGGGAACTGCAGTCCAGGAACTGCCTTGAGGGTTGTGTGATTCTCCTTGACTCCCACTCTAAAGCACAGTGACCAGAAATGCATTTTCTGCATTTCCTTTCTCTTTCTCCCCTGCGAAAGCCCTAACAAGACAAATCCAAAGCAGCCTTTCAGGTTTGGACCTAATAGAATCCTTTCCCCATAAACTTTGGCTTGTTTTCTTTTCCTTCTCATGGATCTACCTTGCATCTGCTTGGTGTTGTAGATTTTTGGGAAATAGCCTGCCTCTTAGGCCAAGGACAGAAGACAGTTCATGTGCCGATGGCACAACCGTGAGTCTCTTATTGCTGCAGATTTGATCAGTAATCAATAAGTTTCTGGTCCTCATACTTGGAGTTTTGCAAAAGGGATGCCACTGCCTACCTCTCATGTATTATGTTCTGCAGTTGAACGTGCTTGGTGATGGAAGGATTAATGTAAGTATTCGTTCTAAAGGGTTGAATAATCTGTAAGAGTTCACGGGTGAAAGCAATTAAGGGTGGAGGTATGCAAGAGATAGGTTGCAGCTGGGTGTCTCTGGATAGAAGGAGAAAAGTATTTGTCTTATTTTGGTGGTAGATGCTGCTGGTTTTCCCCCAGGTTTGTGGATTTTTGGTATCCTGACCAGTCTCCAACTGTTGGAACCTTGAATCTTTAGACTGGTTTTGGACTGCGGTATTGACTCTTGATCCCTGGACTTTGATCATTGAACTCTTGGCATCTGACCACTGGACTGGACCCTTTGACTATGGTGTAGCGTTTGCTATCAGTTTCTGTTTTGTATTCTCTGACTGAGTGCTATCTTTATGTTTTATATTCTGGACTATTAAAACAGCCAGACAGTAAGTGCTGTTTTAATTAAACTGTTTATACAAACTGGGTTTTTGTTTGGTTAATCTCTGCCTCTGTAAAGGCAGAGCCCTAGCTTTGTGACACTATCCAAGAGTAGGAAAATGGAAAAAGATGACCTATGGAGGTTTCGCTCGGTTCTGTGGTTGATTTCTTAACTCCTTTGGTTCCTTTTCATTTTGTGGACTACAGTATTGACTCTTGACCCCGGGACTTTGATCATTGAACTCTCTGCATTTGACAACTGGACTGGACCCTTTGACTATGGTGTAGCATTTGCTATCAGTTTTGGTTTTGTATTCTCTGACTGAGTGCTATCTTTATGTTTTATATTTTGGACTATTAAAACAGCCAGAAAGTAAGTGCTGTTTTAATTACATTGTTTTATACACACTGGGTTTTTGTTTGGTTCATCTCTGCCTTTGTAAAGGCAGAGCCCTGGCATTCTGCCTCTGGCATCAGTAGGAAAATGGAAAAAGATGACCTATGGAGGTTTTGCTCGGTTCTGCGGCTGACTTCTTAACTCCTTTGGTTCCTTTTCATTTTGTGGACTACAGTATTGGCTCTATACAAACTGGGTATTTGTTTGGTTCATCTCTGCCTCTGGCATCAGTAGGAAAATGGAAAAAGATGACCTATGGAGGTTTTGCTCGGTTCTGCGGCTGACTTCTTAACTCCTTTAGTTCCTTTTCATTTTGTGGACTACAGTATTGACTCTATACAAACTGGGTATTTGTTTGGTTCATCTCTGCCTCTGGCATCAGTAGGAAAATGGAAAAAGATGACCTATGGAGGTTTTGCTCGGTTCTGCGGCTGACTTCTTAACTCCTTTGGTTCCTTTTCATTTTGTGGACTACAGTATTGGCTCTATACAAACTGGGTATTTGTTTGGTTCATCTCTGCCTCTGGCATCAGTAGGAAAATGGAAAAAGATGACCTATGGAGGTTTTGCTCGGTTCTGCGGCTGACTTCTTAACTCCTTTGGTTCCTTTTCATTTTGTGGACTACAGTATTGACTCTATACAAACTGGGTATTTGTTTGGTTCATCTCTGCCTCTGGCATCAGTAGGAAAATGGAAAAAGATGACCTATGGAGGTTTTGCTCGGTTCTGCGGCTGACTTCTTAACTCCTTTGGTTCCTTTTCATTTTGTGGACTACAGTATTGGCTCTATACAAACTGGGTATTTGTTTGGTTCATCTCTGCCTCTGGCATCAATAGGAAAATGGAAAAAGATGACCTATGGAGGTTTTGCTCGGTTCTGCGGCTGACTTCTTAACTCCTTTAGTTCCTTTTCATTTTGTGGACTACAGTATTGGCTCTATACAAACTGGGTATTTGTTTGGTTCATCTCTGCCTCTGGCATCAGTAGGAAAATGGAAAAAGATGACCTATGGAGGTTTTGCTCGGTTCTGCGGCTGACTTCTTAACTCCTTTGGTTCCTTTTCATTTTGTGGACTACAGTATTGGCTCTATACAAACTGGGTATTTGTTTGGTTCATCTCTGCCTCTGGCATCAATAGGAAAATGGAAAAAGATGACCTATGGAGGTTTTGCTCGGTTCTGCGGCTGACTTCTTAACTCCTTTGGTTCCTTTTCATTTTGTGGACTACAGTATTGGCTCTATACAAACTGGGTATTTGTTTGGTTCATCTCTGCCTCTGGCATCAATAGGAAAATGGAAAAAGATGACCTATGGAGGTTTTGCTCGGTTCTGCGGCTGACTTCTTAACTCCTTTGGTTCCTTTTCATTTTGTGGACTACAGTATTGGCTCTATACAAACTGGGTATTTGTTTGGTTCATCTCTGCCTCTGGCATCAATAGGAAAATGGAAAAAGATGACCTATGGAGGTTTTGCTCGGTTCTGCAGCTGACTTCTTAACTCCTTTGGTTCCTTTTCATTTTGTGGACTACAGTATTGGCTCTATACAAACTGGGTATTTGTTTGGTTCATCTCTGCCTCTGGCATCAATAGGAAAATGGAAAAAGATGACCTATGGAGGTTTTGCTCGGTTCTGCGGCTGACTTCTTAACTCCTTTAGTTCCTTTTCATTTTGTGGACTACAGTATTGGCTCTATACAAACTGGGTATTTGTTTGGTTCATCTCTGCCTCTGGCATCAGTAGGAAAATGGAAAAAGATGACCTATGGAGGTTTTGCTCGGTTCTGCGGCTGACTTCTTAACTCCTTTGGTTCCTTTTCATTTTGTGCTTCATTATCTTTCTCGTTGGCCAGCGTGTGCTTCATCACAATGTTCGTTTTGGGGGAAATTAAATAGGACAACTTGATCACTTCTTGTGGCTGCTTCCCAATTTGGAGCAAACGGGACTCTTTCGCACGGCGCTGGGCCATTCGATGTCAAACGGATCCTGGAGGCTTTTGGGGAGGCAACTGAAGGAGGTCCCCCAATCAGTAACACTTGGCACGGCCCGCCACTGTCGTCTCACCTACACCTGTCCCTTTTGCCCAGGTAAAGCTAAGAGGCCAAATTGACTGGGCGTGGGGGGCCCCGTGTGGACCCCTCTCCCCAGTATTGGGGGCTTTTGCGGGAGGAGAGGTCCGCCAGATCCTTCTCAGGCCTCCTTCCTTGCGATGGCACGACCACCTCCGCTGCCGCCCCTTAGCTGGGGCTGACCTGGCTGGAGGACACCGAGGACACCTCCGTCTTCTGGGCCGAGCTGGACACGTCCGACTCGTCCGTCATGGGTTTCCCGCACACCGTTTCCATGATGCAGGCGCGGAACTGGAGGAGAAAGGGAGAGAAGGGGAACCGTGGTGGCATTGAAGTCGAGGAAGACAGGCCCTCCCCGAGTTACAAACATCCGACTTACTGGGATTTATAGTTCACCTGCAATCAAAGAGCATTCTAAACTCCACCAATGATGGAATTGAACCAAATGTGGCACACAGAACTCCCATGACAATAGAAAATACTGGAAGGGTTTGCTGGGCATTGCTCTTGAGTTTGGGAGTTGTAGTTCACCTACACCCAGAGAGCACTGTGCGCTCCAACAATCATGGATCTGGACCAAACTTGGCACGGATATGCAATATGCCCAAATATTGGCATTGACCTTGAGTTTTGGAGTTGTAGTTCACCTACATCCATAGAGAACTGCGGAGTCCAACAATAGAATCATAGAATCAAAGAGTTGGAAGAGACCTCATGGGCCATCCAGTCCAACCCCCTGCCAAGAAGCAGGAATATTGCATTCAAATCACCCCACACAGATGGCTATCCCCAAATCTGAACTGGTGGAGTTGGGGAAAATAGACCTTGACATTTGAGTTGTAGTTGCTGGGATTATAGTTCACCTACAATCAAAGAGCATTCTGAACCTCCACCAATGATGGAATTGAGCAACTTGGCACACAGAACTCCCATGACAACAGAAAATACTGGAAGGGTTTGTGGCATTGACCTTGAGTTTTGGAGTTGTAGTTCACCTACCCCAGAGAGCACTGTGGACTCAAACAATTATAGATTGACCAAACTTGGCACAATACTCAATATGCCCAAATATAAAAACTGATGGAGTTTGGGGAAAATAGACCTTGACATTTGGGATTTGTAGTTGCTGGGATTTATAGTTCACCTACAATCAAAAGAGCATTCTGAACTCCACCAATGATGGAATTGAACCAAACTTGGCACACAGAACTCCCATGACCAATAGAAAATACTGAAGGATTTGGTGGGCATTGACCTTGAGTTTTGGAGTTGTAGTTCACCATAGAGAGCACTGTGGACTCAAACAATGATGGATCTGGACCAAACTTGGCACAAATATTCAATATGTCCAAATGTGAACACTGGTGGAGTTTGGGGAAAATAGACCTTGACATTTGGGAGTTGTAGTTGCTGGGATTTATAGCTCACCTACAATCAAAGAGCATTATGAACCCCACCAATGATAGAATTGATCCAAACTTTCCACACAGAACCCCCATGACCAACAGAAAATTCCATTTTCTGGTGGTCTTTGGTGACCCCACTGACACCCTTTTGTGACGCCCCCCGGGGTCCCAACCCCCAGGTTAAGAAACACTGGCCTAGGATATTAGAGGAGGTGTTGTTGTTGTGTTGTTGAAGGATTTCATGGCCATAATCACTGAGATGCTGTGAGTTTTCCAAGCTGTCTGGCCATGTTCTAGCAGCATTTTCTCCTGACATTTCACCCACATCTATGGCAGGCATCCTCAGAGTTAGTGAGGTCTGTTGGAAACTAGGAAAATGGGTTTATATATCTGTGGAATGACAAAGGACTCTTGTCTGCTGGAGCAAGGTATGAATGTATTGTCGAAGGCTTTCAGCATTGAATCAAATCAGGAAACAATCAGGGCCAGCAACACCTCCCAACAAAGGCTCCCCCACAGGCAGGAAGCAGCCAAACTTTGAAGCTGCAAGGCCATTCAGTGCTAATCAAGGTGGCCACTTGACTCTAACAGACAAGAGTTCTTTCTCCCACCCTGGACATCATTCCACAGGTATATAAACCCCACTTGCCCAGTTTTCAATAGACCAAACCACCTCCGAGGATGCCTGCCATAGATGTGGGTGAAATATCAGGAGAGAATGCTTCTAGAACATGGTCAGAATGTTCCACCATTCTCCCACCATTCCTACTGGCTGTTAGGAATGGTGGGAGCTGAAGTCCAAAACAGCTGGAGGGAGGGCCCAAGTTGGCTAAAGAGAATGAGCGCACCTGTCCTACCTGTGCTACCGGGCAGGCCGGGCATTACCTGTTTGTTCATGAAGCAGTAGATGATGGGGTTGTAGACGCAGGCGCTCTTGGAGAAGAAGGCGGGGATGGTGACCAGGCGCAGGTCCAGGCCGTGGTTCCGGTTGTTGACCATGTACATGGCCAGGGCGGCGTAGGGCACGTAGCAGAGGCAGAAGGAGCCCACCATCACCACCACCATCCGGGAGACCTCCCGCTCGGCCTTCTGCGTGGTGGCCGACTCCTGCTGCTGGGCCGCCACCTGCGAGGGAGGGAATGGGCATGCTCACAAAGCGGGACCATAGAAAGGTACACTGGAAGGGGCTCCCCAAGACCATCCGGTCTGACCCCCTTCTGCCAGGCACAGGTGGACACCTAGCCTCTGTTTACAAATCTCCCCAGAAAGGGAATCCACCAGGCTGCCAGGCATTCTGTATCCTACTAGAGTTGGAAGGGCCTCTCAAAGGCCATCCAGTCCACCCACTTCTTCCATGGAAAGGCGCATGAAAAAGAGCATGAAAGGGCACATGAAAAGGAGCATGAAAGGGCGACTGAAAAAAAGCATGATAGGGCTCATGAAAAGGAGCATGAAAGGGCGCATGAAAAAGAGCATGAAATGCCACATGAAAAAGAGCATGAAAGGGCGCATGAAAAGGAGCATAAAAAGGAGCATAAAATGGTGCATGAAAAGGAGCATGAAAAGGCGCATGAAAGGGTGCATGAAAAGCATGAAAGGGAGCATGAAAAGCATGAAAGGGCGCATCAAAAGCAGTGTGAAAGGGCGCATGAAAAAGCATGAAAGGGCGCATCAAAATGAACATGAAAGAGCGCATGAAAAGGAGCATGAAAAAGAGCATGAAAGAACGCATGAAAAGGAGCATGAAAGGGCACATGAAAAGGAGCATGAAAGGTTGCATGAAAAGCAGCATGAAAGGGTGCATGAAAAGGAGCATGAAAGGATGCATGAAAAAGAGTATGAAACAGAACATGAAAGGGCACATGAAAAGGAGCCTGAAAGGGCACATGAAAAGAGCATGAAATGGTGCATGAAAAGGAGCATGAAAGGCACATGAAAAAGCATGAAAGGACACATGAAAAGGAGCATGAAAGGCTCATGAAAAGGTGTATGAGAAAGACATATGAAAAGAGTGTGAAAGGACACATGAAAAGCTGCGTGGAAAGAAGCATAGAAAGGCACATAAAAGCGCTCACAAAAAGCAGCATTAAAGGCTCATGAAAAGGCATGTGAAAAGAATGCGTGAAAGGGCACATGAAAGGGCGTATGAAAAAGTGCATGAAAAGGCACATGAAATGTGCATGAAAGGGTGGATGAAAGGGCACATGAAAATGTGCATGAAAATGTGCATGAAAGGGCAAACAAAAGGGCACGTGAAAAGCGCAAGAAAAGGAGTGTGAAATGGAGCATGAAAAGGTGCACAAAAAGTGGAAGAAAAGGAGCATAAAAGAGCGCATGGAATGGTGCATGAAAAGATGCATGAAAAGCATGAAAAGGGGCATGAAAAAGTGCATGAAAGGGCACATGAAAAGGAGCACAAAAGGGTGAATGAAACGGTGCACAAAAAGGCACATGGCATGCGTATGGAAGAGCACATGAAAACAAGCATGAAAAGTGCATGAAAGGGCACATGAAAAGCGCAAGAAAATGAGAATGAAAAGGTGCACGAAAAGTACAAGAAAAGGAGCAGGAAAAGGTGCACAAAAAGTGCAAGGAAAAAGAGCATGAAAAGGAGCATGGAAAGGCGCATGGGACTTACGGCCCGCAGTGCGCCCAGGAGTTGTGAGTAGGAGAAGATGATGAGGGTCAAGGGGACGATGAAGCAGAAGATGAAAAGGAACCAGGTGTAGTACTCGCTCTTGTACTTGGTGCCCACCGTGTACCAGTCTGGACCGCAGGAGCATTGCAGGCCCTCCGGGATGTACCTGAGAGGATGAATGGCTCTTAGATGCCTCCAAATGCAGGTAACCCCCAAATCCCCATCCCGTCGTAGAATGGTGGGACCGAATGGGTCCCCCTGAGGTCATCCAGCCCAGCCCCTCTTCCTCACCTGCTCCATCCGAAGAAGGGCGGGATGGCGACCCCGATCCCAATGAACCAGGTGGCCGCCACCACCAGCAAGGCGTGCTTGGAGTTGAAGCGGAAGTTGCCGAAAGGTTTGCAGATGACGATGTAGCGCTCAAAGGCCAGAAAGGCCAATGACCAGCCGGTGACCAGACCTAGGATGGAGAAAATGGACAGAGAGACGGACCGATATGGATTATTATGGAAGAACAGATTGGGACCCCCTTCTCCACCTTGACGCATCTACACCAGGCATGGGCAAACTTCAAAACCAGAAATGGAGGTCTCTGGAACTCGGATCTGAAGGCTTTGGAGGAAGGAGGGAGGAAAGAAGAGTAGAGAGCTTCGGAGACTTCCATTTTTGTAGTTGACTGCTCACTGAAGGAATGATATTAGAGGCAAAAATGAAGTACTTTGGCCACATAATGAGAAGACAGGAAAGCCTGGAGGAGATAATGATGCTGGGGGAAAATGGAAGGAAAAATGAAGAGGGGCCGAACAAGGGCAAGGTGGGTGGATGTGACTGGCTTGACCTTGAAGGAGCTGGGGGTGGCCACAACTGACAGGGAACAGTGGTGTGGGCTGGTCCATGAGGTCACAAAGAGTTGGAAGCGACTGAATGAATAAACAACAAAAACTGTGTTGTTTTCAGAGAAAGAAGGAGGGAGGAGAGAAAAGTGGAGCTATAGAGACCCCTGCCTTTGGAGACAGAAGGAGGGAGGAGAGAAGAGTGGAGCTATAGAGACCCCTGCCTTTGGAGACAGAAGGAGGGAGGAGAGAAAAGTGGAGCTATAGAGACGCCTGCCTTTGGAGACAGAAGGAGGGAGGAGAGAAGAGTGGAGCTATAGAGACCCTGAGTACACTTTGAGTCTCCTTGGGGAGAGCAAAAGTGGGATATAAGTAAACATAATCATACTAATAATGGCCTTCAGAGAAAGGAGGGAAGAGAGAAGAGTGGAGCTTCAGGGACTTTCATTATGAAGTTTTCAAACTGCCTTGCATTCAGAGAAAGAAGGAGGAAGGAGAGCAGAGTGGAGCTATCGACACCCTTAGCTGCTTTAAGTCTCCTTATGGAGAGAAAAAGCGGGGTAAAAATAAACATAATAAACATAAACATAATAATAATAATAATAACTGCCTTCGGAGAAAGGAGGAGAGAGGAGAGAAGAGTGGAGCTATAGAGACCCTAAGCACAATTTGAGTCTCCTTGGGGAGAGCAAAAGTGGGATATAAATAAACATAATCATACTAATAATGGCCTTTAGAGAAAGGAAGGAAGAGAGAAGAGTGGAGCTATAGAGACACCTAGAAAGAAGAATGGAGCTATAGAGATACTTAGCCGCTTTGAGTCTCCTTGTGGAGATAAAAAGCGGGGTGTAAATACACATAACAACAACAACAACAACCACAACCACAACTGCCTTCGGAGAAAGGAGGAGAGAGGAGAGAAGAGTGGTGCTATAGAGACCCTGAGCCGCTTTGAGTCTTCTTGGTGAGTGGGAAGGTGAGATATAAATAAACATAATCATACTAATAATGGCCTTTAGAGAAAGGAGAGAAGAGAGAAGAATGGAGCTATAGAGTATAAATACACATAATAATAGTAATAGTAATAATAATAATAACAACAACAACAACAATAATTTTTAACTAGAAAATGCCTAGAGAGGGTGTCTGGTCTCAGAAAAGTATACAATTGTGCCAGAGAGCTTAGAGAATACATACAGAGTCTGTGTTTTGTTGGAAGTGGATAAATGCCTTCAGAGAAAGAAGGAGGGAGGCGAGAAGAGTGGAGCTCCAGAGACCTTAATTTTGTTATTTTTGAACTGCTTGCCTTCGGAGGAAGGAAGAAAGGGAAACTCAGTCTGGAATGGGGGTGCGACTATTATGTGATGAGATATGACATCCCTTTATTTCCTTGCCAATTTTGTTATTTTTGAACTCCTTGCCTTTGGAGGAAGGAAGGAAGGGAAATTCAGCCTGGAATGGGGGTGCGACTATTATGTGATGAGATATGACATCCTTTCATTTCCCCGCCAATTTTGTTATTTTTGAACTGCTTGCCTTTGGGGGAAGGAAGGAAGGAAGGGAAATTCAGCCTGGAATGGGGGTGCGACTATTATGTGGTGAGATGTGACATCCCTTTATTTCCCCGCCAATTTTGTTATTTTTGAACTGCTTGCCTTCTGAGGAAGGAAGGAAGGAAGGAGAGGAAGGAAGGAAGGAAGGGAAATTCAGCCTGGAATGGGGGTGCGACTATTATGTGATGAGATCTGACATCCCTTTATTTCCCCGCCAATTTTGTTATTTTTGAACTGCTTGCCTTTGTAGGAAGGAAGGAAGGAAGGAAGGAAGGGAAATTCAGCCTGGAATGGGGGTGCGACTATTATGTGATGAGATCTGACATCCCTTTATTTCCCCGCCAATTTTGTTATTTTTGAACTGCTTAGGGAGGAAGGAAGGAAGGAAGGAAGGAAGGAAGGAAGGAAGGAAGGAAGGAAGGAAGAAATTCAGCCTGGAATGGGGGTGCGACTATTATGTGTTGACATCCGACATCCCTTTATTTCCCCACCAAGTTTGTTATTTTTTAACTGCTTGCCTTTGGAGGAAGGAAGGAAGGAAGGGAAATTCAGCCTGGAATGGGGGTGCGACTATTATGTGATGACATACGACATCCCTTTATTTCCCCACCAATTTTGTTATTTTTGAACTGCTTGCCTTTGGAGGAAGGAAGGAAGGAAGGAAGGAAGGAAGGAAGGAAGGAAGGAAGGAAGGAAGGAAGGAAGGAAGGGAAATTCAGCCTGGAATGGGGGTTGCAACTATTATGTGATGAGATCTGACATCCCTTTATTTCCCCACCAATTTTGTTATTTTTGAACTGCTTGCCTTCGGAGGAAGGAAGGAAGGAAAGGAAATTCAGCCTGGAATGGGGGTGCGACTATTATGTGTTGACATCCGACATCCCTTTATTTCCCCACCAAGTTTGTTATTTTTTAACTGCTTGCCTTTGGAGGAAGGAAGGGAGGAGAGGGAGGGAGGGAAATTCAGCCTGGAATGGGGTGCGACTATTATGTGATGAGATCTGACATCCCTTTATTTCCCCGCCAATTTTGTTATTTTTGAACTGCTTGCCTTTGGAAGGAAGGAAGGAAGGAAGGAAGGAAGGAAGGAAGGAAGGAAGGAAGGAAGGAAGGGAAATTCAGCCTGGAATGGGGGTGCGACTATTATGTGATGAGATCTGACATACCTTTATTTCCCCGCCAATTTTGTTATTTTTGAACTCCTTGCCTTCGTAGGTAGGAAGGAAGGAAGAAGGAAGGAAGGAAGGAAGGGGGGGAATTCAGCCTGGAATGGGGGTGCGACTATTATGTGGTGAGGTACAATACCCCTTTATTTCCCCGCCGCCCCTATGGAGAGCCCTGTGAGACCTTCCACTCTTCTGCTTTACCTGCCACAGATCCCAGGAAGGCCTCCAGTGCGCAGATGTGCCTCCCGAAGAAGAAGTATCCCTGGGAGCTGGCCAGGAAGACGGTGAAGACGGAGAAGGTGCAGAAGAGGAACCCGGCGAAGGAGATGTTGACCAGGATGTAGTTGAGCGGCTGGCGCAGCTTCTTGTACTTGACGGTGACGATGAGGATGATGGCGTTGAGCGGGGTCCCGGCGAAGAAGACGAAGCCCATGAAGGCGGTCTGGAAGTAGAAGGCCCACATTGGGGCGATGTGGTACTGGGGCCCGTCCCATGGCCCCACCGAGGAGATGTTCTCAAAGAGGTAGAAGTCTTCTTGGCCGGACATGATGACCACCGCTGCCAAGCGCCGCCAACCGGGCACAATCCTTTCCCGGGGCCTCCTGTTATAGAGTGCTGGCGGAGGGAAATCCACTTAGGGGATCCAGCGGGGATCAGGCGATAATCCCCGATTATCCCAGAGGCAAACTTGGGGATTACGGGGGCCTAAGAGCCTTACCTTCTGTCCCGCAAAACCTCTCCAGAAGTTAATCTCTGGGCCGCTTGGAGAAGATTCAAGGGGCTTCTTCGCTGGCACGGCAAAGGGCAAGGCAATGGAGAAAGCAGAGTTGGTTATACAAGGAGGACAAACACCCATCATCCCCAGAACTGGAGAATTGGGGTCAATTCTGTATTGGGTGGTAACATCCATCAGGGTCCTTCCAGAGCCATTGGGATGGAAGGGAACTCAAGCCACATTGATGCTGCTGCATAATACAGTTTCGTAATGCAACTACAATGCCATATAATGCAGTTATGAAACTGCATTATAAGTCAGTGCGGATAGGGTTACAAAGAGGCACTCAAAGTGTCCTAAAAGACCTCTGTTTGCAAAGAGACGGTCAAAGCATTCCTAAAAGACCTCTCATTGAATTGCAATCGAACGAATCTGCACATAAAATGAATGAACACAAAAACACAATCGACGAAACACACCATGTTTACAAATTGCAAAGCATAAACAGTATTTAATCAGGTCTCCAGAGTCAATGTCTCCTTCCGCTCAGGACATCCTTCCTTATGAGTT